TTTTTTGAGACAGGGTTTCTCTGTGTAGCTTTGGAGCCTGTCCTGGAACTCACTCTGTAGCCCAGGCTGGCCTTGAACTCACAGAGATCCACCTGGCTCTGTCTCCCGAGTGCTGGGATTAAAGGCATGTGCCACCACCGCCTGGCGAGATGCACTTTCAGAAGCAGGAGGCTGCACCCACAGAGCACTGCTCCAAATGTGTGGAGGGCAGACCATGCAGTCATCCTGACTCCAGCCACACCACATATAGGACCGTGGCCTTGTAGGATTGTTGCACCAGGTGACATATTAGTCTCACACCCTTCCTAGCTTATATGAGCATGTTCTGTGATGTGTATACCGGCTTGACCAGACAGAGTATTGCTTATCTGTGTGAGGCCTGTGTTCAAATTCCAGCAAACAGACAAAATGAGAGGGGATGGGGGAACACACACACACACACACACAGAGGTGGGGGTGGGGTGGGGGTGGGGGTGGGCAGGCAGGCTCTCCTAGAGTCACTGGGAAGAGGGCTCCAGGAAGAAGACTGTTCCTCCATTACATGCTGATGCACTGTTGGCAACTTTTCCTGTCCAAGTGTTGTTTTTGTTTATTTTATTTGCTCTTGTTTTCTTTTTGAGACAAATTCTTATTACCTAGTCCAAGATGGCCTGAAACTCCTGAGTTTGGGTATCCTGGTACCATAATCTCCACAGTAGGTAAGGCCAAAGGCTTAACATGCCACTGTGTCCGGCTTTGCGTGTATATATTTTAAAAACCCTTTGGCTTGGAATGATTTGATGTCCACAGGAAAGTCACAAACAGCACAGGGAACTTTCTTACCCTTGTCTCCCCCATAATGTGTCCTTTTGTTGTGTGGTGCAAGAGAGCAAACCTGTGCCTCAAGCATGTGAGACAAGTGTTCTACCCGTGAGCTCCAGCTCCACCCTACTATGGTAACTTTTGGTGGGAGAACACCGCCCCAAATGTAGAAATCATCTGGGTTACGGGTGTCTTTGTTTTTCTGTGCTGGGTTCCGACCACCATACCACACAGCAGAGTGTCACCCTGTTTTCTTAGACTCTTCCCATCTATGGGACTTTCTTAGTCTTGTGTTTTGTGATCTACATAATTCTTGTTTTGTTTGTATGTGACAGGGTGTCAGTAGCCCTGGCTACCCTGGATGCCCTGGAATTCACTCTGTAGACTAGGAAGGTCTCAAGCTCACAGAGATCCTCCTGCTTCTGTCTTCTGAGTGACGGGATTAAAGATTATCAGCCACCACTCCTGGCTATGTGTTTGAATCAAGGTTTTGATGTTCAGCTCAGGCTGACCTTGAACTTGTGATTCTCCTGCCTCTTTGTGTCATTGTTGGGATGATGGCATGCACCACGACACCTGGAGACCTAGACAGGTTGAAGATGTGAGCGCAAGTCATTACAGTGTCTCCTCAGGCCTGTAATCCCAGCACTCGAGAAGCTCCCTGGGCCTCTGGAGGGCCTAGTCTTTCCCTGTTTAGTAAGAGCCACGGATAGCCTCTCAGACTTCGTTTCCAAAGTATTTCCTCCTCTGCTTTTGCCCCTGAAGTAGAATGCAATCTCCATGGCAGGAAAGATTTTATTTCCTTGTCACAGATAGGGAAAATAAGGCCAGAGAAAGTTGGTGGACAAGAAGTTGTGTTTCTGGATCCCAGCCTGGAGTTCTTTTGGGGGGACATTTTTTAAAAAGATTTTTTGTTATTTCCAAAAGGACTTATTTTTATTTTATTTTATTTTATTTGTGTGTGTTTCTCTGTCTATACCACATGTATGCCCTTGTAGGCCAGAAGAGGACATTGGGCAGGGCGGCAGCGCCACAAGCCTTTAATTCCAGTGCTTGGGAGGCAGAGCCGTGGGGATCTCTGTGAGTTCGAGGCCAGCCTGGTCTATAGGGCACCAAAAACTACACATAGAAACCCTGTCTTGAAAAACAACAGCAACAAAAGGACAGTGGATCCCTGGATCTAGAATTTTAGGGTGTTGTGAGCTGCCGAGTTGCTGAAGTAGGTGCTAGGAACCAAACTGTGGTCCCCTGGAAGAACCACTCTTAATGCTGAGCCGTTTCTTCAGCCCTTTCTTCAGTTATTTTAGTGCTTCTGGGTAGAGCCCAGAGCACTCAGTACTTTAGGCAGGCACTGCAGGCTTGAGCTTTGCCCACTAGGCCTGGAACAATGATTGTGAGCGTAGGGTTCAAATCTTTGGAAACTGGGAATGGTGACTTTCACTTATAATCCCAGCACCTAAGAGGCTGAGGCAGGAGGACCACCACAAGTTTGAGCTGAGCCTGATCTATATGATGAGTTCAGTGTGGGCTATAGAGTGAGGCCCTTCTCCAAAAACAGTAACCGCAGACCCTTTGGAGAAGTCACTGAGTTTACAGCATTCCCTGTCCTCAGGCTCTCAGTCTTTCCCTTACTCCCAGAGTAATCTGGGGTCGTGGTGTTCGTGATCCTGGTTTTCCTCTCCTGCCAAGCAGGAATGCCGCTGCTGACCCCAAAGCATTGTCACGAGATGACTCTAGGAAAGGAACTTGAGGGAGGGTGGTCTGCTTCCAAATGGGGTTGGGCATACTCACACAGGTATGTCACCTATGACCTTGTATATGATAGGGAGGGCCTCCCCCATCTCCTCAGCACTGCGGATCTCCTGCTTCCAATTCACTTCCTGTCCTGTAGGCTAGCAGGTCACATCTTTATCTGTGTCCAGTTCTCTTTCCAGGCCTGCCTCAGGCCAGCAGGATGGCCCATCAGGTAATGGTGCTTGCTGCCAAGTGTAACTTGCTGTGTTCCTTCCCTGTGTTCCTGGTCCCACAGAGTGGAAGGGAGAGAGCAGACTCCCATAAGTTGTCCTTTGACCTCCAAGTATAGATCTACACACACAAATAAACATAATTTTAAAAAAAAATGTGGAAAATGTCAAACTCTTCTAAGGTGTCAGGCTAGAGCTGCTCAGCGTTGTGACTGCAGCTAATTCCTTTATTAAGTCTCAGCACCTAACTCAGGCTGGCCATGAATTTACGATGTTCCAGTCTCAGCTTCCCAGTAGTGTGATTACAGGCCTGGGCCATCATCCCTGACTTCCTAATTAAAATTTTAAAAAAAGATTTTTAGAAGATTTATTTATTTGAGCTGGGTAGTGGTGGCAC